GTAGATAGGTAGATAAATAGATAGGTAGATAGATAGATAGATGGATAGATGGATGGATGGATGGATGGATGGATAGATAGATAGAGAGAGAGATAGACAGACAGACAGATAGAGAGGTAGACAGATAGATCGGCAGGTAGGTCGGTAGATAATCAGAGAAAGATAGAGAAACAGAGAGAAAAAGAGAGAAAGAGAGAGAGAAAGAGTGAAAGAGATCAAGCACCTTTCAGTCCATCAGTGGCTTCGCTCTGCCATCCCTGATTCACAACAACCAAACTCTCCTATAGGTTTCCTATTTTTGAAACTTCCGCCGCCGCCTTGTGCGGTACTACTGGTATATTATTAATATTATTATCATTATTAATATGTTTTATTATCATTATTATTATCATTATTACTATTATTATTATGTGTATATATTTTTATTTATTTATTTATTTATTTAGCCCTAGTGCTCCACCAGGCCCAGCCACCTAAAATTCCCAGCCTTCTTCGGATCTAGGCCTCCGCAGCTGCTCGTTCTTCTAGTTTTTCTCCTCGCTTTGCAACCCTATCTGGCGGGCATAGTTTGGCCACGGGACCTTGAAGAAAAAAAACAGCTACGCATCAGGTTGAGTTCAGCACCTGACAGGTTAAAGGATTTGAAATGTGCAAATGCAAAAATGAAAGGTAAGGTGGTGCCACAACAGCACTCCCCCTTGAAAGATCCGCTTTGGACCTTTCACCTTTCAGCCAGGCTCAAGCTGTTGAATTTTTGGCTTCTAAACATGCCGTGCACAGTTGCAGGTGATTCGATCCCAGTGCTGTAGGGCATCTCATATCTGAATGTGCAGCACTTCCGTACGCTCTCAGAAACAGGGTGGCACCAAGAGCAGGAACTGATCCATTTTGATAGGCAGAGCGTTGGCATCGACTCCACCATTTTGATTCTTTCGCCAGACCAGTGGTCACCGAAGCCAAATGTCGACAGCTTCGGCTCAAATGATAAACTCCGCCAAAACGTGTCGAAAACACCTGAAATGCAAAATCGGATCACCTGGTGCAGCAGCATTCAGCTCCATTCGGATCTGTCTTTCCTTTCTTTCGATTTCATCCCAGCTTCCAAAGATGTCCTCTTCAACGGTGGGCATGTTTGAGCCCTGTGATCTTGATTTCGGCTGTTGAACCCTTGGTGATGGTGTCACATTTGGCAAGTGACCCATCTTTGGAAAACTTTTCACCTTTGGTGCTCCTTTTGGTCGCGGAGCACTTTGTACTGGAACCTGTGGTGGCGGAGAAGAGGACGAAGAAGTTGATGGTGAGGCAGTTAAGGGGGCAGCATCAACGGAGCGCTCGCCATGGCTTGAAACTACGCTTCCTTTCGAAGTCTTTTCTCCTCGCTTCGCTTCTCCAGGGAGACTTCCGGGTGATGGGACTTGGCGCCTTTGAGCGGCAGCTCTCACCAACCGTACTCCTACCTTCCAGATCTGCTGCGCAAAGAGTGTGGCCAAAACCACAAAAAAGGTGTGGCAAGCGACCATCGTTTCAAAGCTGATTTTTCATCCTCCTTAACTTTCTCATTTTCAACCGCTTTCGCTGAAGAAATGGCAGCAGCCAGAGTGATGAGCTTGATGATCTGGGCTGCTTCAGCTACTTTCATCCCTTCGCTTTTCTTTTGATCTTCGCCTTCTTCTCTCAGCCTCCTTTCTTTCTCAAAACCTCCTTCTTTCTTTTCTTCCTCCTTTTCTTCTACTTCTTTCAAACTTCCCATGCTCATGAGATTTTTCAGCTTTTCAAATCTTGGGGCGCTCAAGGCTTTCGTCCCCAAGTCGGCGATCATTGGCTCGCCAGCAACATGTTGGATCAGCCAATCGCCACGGCTGATGCTCTGCCTGGCAAATGAGGAACGAAGCCTGAGGTGCCTCGTCCTCCAGCTGCCGCCATCGCAGGTCAGAATGGCTTCAGCTGCTTGGCTGTCGGTGTAGGACACTTTGATGACCACCTCGTAGGGCTCTTGGACCATGACAGCTATTGATTCGCCAGCAGTCATCGCTTCTATGACTTCTGTCATCTCTGATTCAGCTGTTGAAAGTGTGACCAGACTCTGTCGGCCAGCTCGCCAAAGAATCGGCGACCCTTCCAGCGAAATCAAAAAGCTTCCATGACTTTCTGAGCCTTCAGTAGAAAATGAGGCATCTGAGTATGCCTGCAGGACGATCTCATCTTTGAAGTCCACCTGGTAGCGGAGTCCCTCATCTTGAGTTCTTTTGAGATAGCCCTTCATTTGATCTCCTAGCTCCATGACTTTGACGGGATTCTTCAGGACGTTTGATCCCATCCGACTCACACCATACATGAGGTCAGGGCGTGAGCGGGTGAGAAGCCAAAGTACTTCTCCAACAAATTTTTGAGCTCCTCGCACTTCTTCCAACGTAGGTGTAGACGCTGGTGCTTCAATGTGAGCTTGGTCACGGGTAACAGGGATCTTTCTTTCTTTCACTTTTTCTTCACTTTTCTCTATCAAGTCTTTGATATATATGACCTCTGGGTCACATACCACTCCTCCCTTTCTCCATCCTCAGCTTTTCTTTTTGACACTTCCATCCCAAGAAAACGAATGGGATGCTCGGAGACATACTCTGGCGTTGATGTCTTCCAAGTTTCTTGAAACTTCTCCTTGATGGCCTCCAGGATGGAGTGGGATGAGCAGATGAAGATGTCATCCACGTAGGTCATAACCAGTCCCCATAGGACATGGCTTTCATCGAAAATTTCCAGCACTCTCCAAAGGTTTGGTTCTGATTGAAGAGCTCGTAGATGGAACTTTCTTTTCCTCCTCTTGAATCTTCTGCTTCGATTTGAAAGCTTTCCATAGTTTCATCGCGGCACGTGCCCCACAATCTTGGAGAACGGCGGAGCCCATACACAGCTCTTTGAGGCACGAAGAAATCATCCGGTGCCATGTAGCCCTTCTCGGTGAAAAGTGCAGGTGGCCTCACAATCAGGACAGCTTCTTGGTCGTCCTGATCCATCAACGCGTTGAGGAATGCAGTCTTGATGTCGATGCCTGCACCAGCCCATTGATAACGGGCTGCTGCCCAAATGGACAGCCGAAAGGCTGCGGCATCAGCACCGCTTGAAAAGGTCTGTTCAGAATCCTTTTTGGACTCATGGTTTCTGCAAATCACCCAACGTGTTTTGCGCTTGCTGCCATTGCTGCCAGCTTTGATCGTGAAGACCAATTTTGAGGGTATGATCTCCACAGTGCGGCCTTCTTGAGCAGCCTTCTTTTGAATCTCCTCCAATTCTTTTCTTGCGATCTTTTTCAAAGCTTCTTTCTTCTCCAAAAGACTTTGAACTTCGGCATCGATGGCTTCAAGCCAACTTTTCCAACTTTTCACAACCTCTCTTGTTGAGATTACTTTCGTTTGGAGAATCTCATCCTCCTCACTTGGTTCTTCCATCATTCTTTTCATTTTCGCTACCCATTTGAGTTCTTCCACTGCTATGTCAGGGTCGTCTTCGACCATGTGCTTCATTTCTTCTTCTATCATTCTGCTCAGCCTGTGTCTCAGCTGCTGAACCTTTTCTTCTTCTTTCTCCTCATCTTTCAAATCTTTCTCCTCAATTTCAATCTTTCTTACTGATGTCTTCTCTCGCAACCTCCTTCTGGTGGTCAAAGCATCAGCAAGTTCCTTTTCGATTGCGACACACTTCTGGTCGGTGATTGGCTCTTTGGCTTTCCGAAGAACGTATTTGGTGACTCTTGGTCGTTCTTCTTCAGCTTGAACCCAATGTCCATGTTCTTCAGGAGCAGGAAACTGGTACTTGACAGTCTCTCCACGGTGGGCTCGAAGACACCCTGTCTCCATGTGCGACGCCTCACAAGGACGTCCTGCATGAAGGGTGGAAAGCTTGGAGCGTCGCCAAGCCGCCAGCTTCTGTTCAAGGCATCGGCATAGCGAGCCGCTAATGGCCAACATTCGCTGCCCACATCGGCTTGTTTGAGCAGCCGACGTGTTTGTGTTTTGAAGCTCTTCACTGCCACCTCCACACGGCCATTCGCTCGAGGATCATCTCCAGGTGTGCGTGTCAGCACTATGCCACCCGGAGAACTCATGACCTCGATCTGAATGTATTCTTCCAATGTGGAAGCCGTCCATTCTGAGCTTGAGGATGAAGTCCATTGCCGTTTTGGTGACTTCTCTTGCAGTTTTGGTGATCATAGGTGCAGCCAGGCGGAAGATCTTGATGTCGAAGCCTCCTGGTTTGAGCTCTTCTTCCCCTTCTTTCTTTTCAGGTGGAGGCAAGAGATAGGGTGGCTCAGGCGGAGCTCCCCCTGGGACCAAGGCATCCTCTTTTTTCTCCTCCCCCCCTTCTTTTACCTCATCTTCTTCAGCCCAAACTTCCATTGGATCTTCTCCATCTTTCTCCTCACCTGCTGCCTCCTCCTGACCTTCTTTCGCATTATCTTCATCTTTTTCTTGTTCATCTTCAGGGTATACCTCAAAGTAAGATTCATTTCCTTCTGCTTTCGGAACTTCAGGATCTTTCATCTTTTCTGATTCAGCTGGAACTGCCCATGTCAGAGTGCCAGCCAACATCCATCTTGCGTAGAGACCTCCAATGTCCTTCGCTGGAATCAACGGTCCAGCCACATCCAAGGAAAGACCTCCTCCAACAGGATATGGAACTTTCTGTGAGGATGGCACTGCTGCATAGTTTGTTGACATACTGCACAGTCTCGGCGATATGGAGTATGCCCATGGGCGATGTGTTCGTCCCAGCTCAGAAGTCGCAACATTGGGTAGCGGTAAAGGTTCTCAAAGATCAAGGGAGGCTGCAGACCCCCACAAAGGTGAAAAGACGTCAGCTGGCGATTCATCGGCTGCGTTCACGGAAAAGTCATTGTGGCATTGATGATGGAATCTATGAAAGAGATGCAAAAGCGCATGAACGACTCCAAGGATGATGCTGGTTTGGTGAAGGGTGTTGAAACGATTCCCACTGGCAGCCCAGATCTTCCAGCATTACAACCATGGGAAGCTCAACATGGCCCTTGATTCTTGGAGATTGGCTTTTACTGACGGAGCCCATCGTTGCAGACCTCTCCATGACGGCAGGGGAATGGTGGCGAATTACCGTCGAAGCAGCTGAAGAATGGTACAGGCTTCACATGAGCTTGAGCCCCTTGGAAAGAATCAAGCACCCCTGTGGAGCACCGCCTGAAATTACCTTGGAGAAGTGGCAGAGGGTTGAAAGAAGGGTTTCTTCAATGATCCTCCAAGCTGTTCCCCAGGGTGTCCGCGAAGAACTTGTAGCCTCAAGGAGAATGACGACCTTTGGGATTGTCACGTATCTCTTGGCCGCCTATAGCCCTGGAGGAATTTCAGAAAAGCAAAACATCCTTAGAAGCTTGGAGGAGCCCCCGGAGATTCAAAGCCTCAATGAAGCTCCTGGTGCACTACGACGTTGGCTTCGATGGAGAAACCGCGCAAAAGAAATAGGAGCTGTGCCCCCAGATCCAGCTCTACAACTCAAGGGACTTTTAAAGATGTCAAAGAAACAGCTGGAAAGTCAAAGGGAGCTACAGTTCAGGGTGTCCCTAGTCCGGTCTGGGCTTGGGGTTGACACTACGCCAAATGACACCAACGTGGAGCAGTTCGCTTACCTTCTTGCTGAGTTTGAACAGCTGGCTTTAACCGAAAAGAAGCCAGGTGCATCCACAGCAGCTGCCAAAGGTGAGCAACCGAAGTTGAAGTCTTTGGAAGCTGAAAGAACGAAAGCAAAGAAAGGAGATGAGGAGACTGGAAGGTCACCTACAAAAAGAGAAGAAGGAAAGGACGAAAAGCCGAAGTGTCGTTTTTCCTTACAGACCAAGGTTGCAAAAGGGGAAAGACATGCACCTTTTCCCACGATGTCAAAGATGAAAAGAGAAGATGCTGGAATTGCGGCTGCCCAGACCATATGTCGCCGGCATGCAGAAGACCAAAGAATTCGATTGACACCTCTCCACAAAAGCCACGACTTGAAAAGGTTGAGGGGAAGGAAAAGTCACCATCAAGCCCAAAGACAAAGGAGGATGAGGGAGGCTCAGAACAGGCGTCTATGAAAGACCTTTTGGAGCAAGGAAAGAAGATGTTGAAAAGCCTGACCACTTCTGCGTCTACCGCTTCTCCCTCTACTACAAGTGTTGCAAACGAGCCCAGAGATGAAGTTGTTGATCGACTTCAGCAACAGTTGAATTCGCTGAAGTTGAAGGTGTTCAAGTTGAGCCAAGTTTCTTTTGGAAAAACACAAGACCTCATGGACTCTGGGGCCACCCATACACTCCGTCCACTACGTCCAGGAGAATCATGTGCCAACTACAAGACTGTGAATGTGACCCTGGCGAATGGTCAACAAACTCAACTCCGAATGACTCCTGGAGGTGTGATGGTCTCAGGGCGCGCTGATGTGGAGCCGATCTTGCCGACGGGTTTGCTCATTGAAAAGCTTGGCTGCAAAATCGAATGGAACAGCGAAGGAGTTTGCCTTCGACACCCACACCGCGGCATTTTGCCGATCCAAGTCAAAGGAGGTTGCCCTCAAATGTTAAGGTCAACAGCTCTTGAGCTGATCGAGGAGTTGGAGCAGACTGCAATCCTGGGGAAAGTCGAAGAAAGAACCTTTAAAGAAGAAGTTGAATGGATGAAAAAGCTGGTAGAAACGCGCCCAGTTTTTCGACGTCTTCCACAACACATAAAGTCCAGGTTAGCTGTCGAGCCAACTTCATGGTCAACTTTGCCTGCGAACCGAAGAACCAGAAAAAGAATGCAAAGAAATGGATTCATGGTCAACATGTTTGCAGGTGAAAACTCTGGATTTACACTTGCCCGTGCGTGGCATCAACAAGGAGGTGAAGCTTCCGCCCTTTTGGAGCTCGACATCAAAAGAGGCTCACATCATGACCTTTCAACAGATGTGGGGCCCTATGCAGCTCTGATTCGAGCTGCATTGGAGAACAAGCTCAAAGCGATAGTCGATGGCACAAACTGCCGAAGCAGAAGTGTGTTGCGTCACTACAAAGTGCCCGGTCAACCGGATTGTCCAAGGCCAGTCAGGTCTTGGGGAGGAGGAGAATATGGAATCAGTGGACTTACAGAAGCTGAAAAAATTATGATTCAAGAAGATGACCTCCTCCTCTGGCGCATGATCTTCCTTGCCATGGTCTTCAACTACATCAAAGAAGCGCGAAAAGATCCAAGCCCTGTTGGCTTCACCTTGGAACAGCCAGCATCACCCAAAGACTACAAGCCAGAAGTTGTCTCGTTTTGGGACACCAAAGAGTGGGCTTCTTTGAAGAAGGAGTTTGGCTGGGAAGAAACTACTTTTGCGCAAGGTCAATATGGTGGCTCCGCTACCAAACCAACTACCTTCGGCGGAAACTTGAAACTGAAGGTTAACAACCACAAAAGAATGAAGAAAGCAGGAGAAGGTTTGGAGGTGAAGTCTTCAAAAGACCTTTCAAGATGGGCCCCTGGCGTCATGGCGATGGTTGCAGAAGCCCTGACGACACAAGTGATGCAGCGCATCAGGAGGTCTTTCAGCCTCCTTACCTGAACCGGTGGTCACACCGACATCCGGCCACTGGGAGTTGAAAGCCTCCTCGGCCTCCCTTGGGTTTTTTGGGGTCTATCGGCCTCCTTTTTGGGGGGTCTTTCAAGCTGGCCATCAGAGCCATTTGGAGTTGCATTCATCCAACTTTTGAAACTCCAACGCATCAACCCTTTCCCTCAGGAGCTGATTCTCCCTCAAAACCTTTTCCAAATTCCTTCTCAGTTCTCGATTTTCTCTATCTACATCCATGCTTCTATCATGTCCATGTCCATGAAAGCCGCTGGACCCAACCCGGCCCTCCTCATGCATTCTTCGTTCATCTTGTTCAAGGAAAAGAGGTCGTTGGACCGGAGGCAAGAATTGCCCAGGTGGCATCAGAGACAAGGGAGCTTGAGAGACATGTTGTGGATATAGCCATGGTGCTTGTGCATACAGTTCTTGAAACCTTCTAAGTTGATTTTCATCAAACAAAGGAGTCATGGGCGTGGACATGTGCGGAGGTTCAGACATTTTCGGGTCTGACTGAGGTGCTACGCTTTTTTCCACACTCCCAACCCCATGCTGTCCTTCTTCATCTTTCTTTTCTGGAGTCTTCAGGTCACTGGCTGCAGCTTTCGAAGTTCTTTGAAACGGCGCTGACTGCGGTGAAGGCAAAACACCTTCAGCAGCAACTGCAACCTTAGTCTCCTTAGCGGCTCCAGGTTCCTCAGGCGCATTTTTCAGAGGGCGGATTTCCTCAGGTGAGGCAGCTTTTGAAGACTGGGGACCTTCAGTTATAGCTTTAACCCTTTCCATATTCTCCTCAGGCGGTATGGGGGTCTCAGCCTCCTTAGAATCACCTTCAGTCTTCCTATCTTCTAACGCTACTTCATCTTTCACCTGTTGATCCAGCCTCCTTTGTGGTTCTTCTATTTCCCTTTGGCCTTGCTCAAGCTCTTTCGGGGTAGCTTTTCTTCTTTGCATCATAGGTTCCATCTTTGCAGGGGCAGGCTTTGGGCTCATAACCTGATGAACCCCTAGTGCTCCACCATGCCCAGCCACCTAAAATTCCCAGCCTTCTTCGGATCCAGGCCTCCGCAGCTGCTCGTTCTTCTAGTTTTTCTCCTCGCTTTGCAACCCTATCTGGCGGGCATAGTTTGGCCACGGGACCCTTGAAGAAAAAAAACCGCTACGCATCAGGTTGAGTTCAGCACCTGACAGGTTAAAGGATCTGAAATGTGCAAATGCAAAAATGAAAGGTAAGGTGGTGCCACAACAGCAATTATTATCATTATTGTTATTATTGTGGTCTTTGGTTTGATGGTGTTTTTGCACGACCGTTGCATTCCACATCACAATTCGATAAGACGTCTGAGCAAGTGTGCAGGTGTGTGTCAACAGCAAGAACTACACCTATGAGAAGGAAAACCAGTCCAGAGTACTAAGTCACCTGCTCCAGACCAGGGTCGATAATCTCAGATATTTGTGTGACCTATTCCATGGTGCATATGTCTGCATAATTGTCGGACACTGCAATTGGTAACCCATACGGTATGCATAACAATTAAACGAAGTCAGTCGCCTGCTTGACAGCTTTTTGGTACGAAGCATCGCCTTGGGTGTCTTTCAACCAGCCCTGCAAGGCGACAAGGCGACGGCGACTGCAAGCGGCAACGCCCCAAGGCAACGCCCCGAGGGATCAAAGCTATCGAGGGATCACAGCAGGCATTGGCTACATTATGTTTCTCGAGTATTCCAAACGATGCATGATGCTACATCGGTTACATCAAAAAGCAATAAATCCAATGTCCAGCTTTGCTTTGTGCGGAACTGTCTACCTCAAGTCGTCTAGTGTCTCAACGAAAAGCACATCTCACAGTTTTCTTTTGCACATGGTGAACGAATGCGAGATCCAATCTGACAACCGGCAACGGAAGTCCTTCTTTATTGTTCTTGCAGAGGCTCCCTCATTTGTCGTGATGCGCCTTTCCTTCCGCTCGAGAACACGCAGTCCACAACGCTGCAAACATCCCTCTCTCCAGGCGCCATCATTACGTCTTGAACGACAAGTACAAACGACAACATCAAATGGGAGACAGGACAACTTGGCATGTTGCCTGCCGCGGTGGTCGGAGATCCACTGGGCCAGAAGCTGTTCCTTGGTGCGATTGGGCAATCTTTTGATGTAAGATGTGAGAGTCTCTGCGAGGGTCTCTGAAGAGATTGTGAGATTATGTTGGATAGCATTCCAAAGCATGCACAGCGGAAATCATCTGCGTTAGTCGCTTTGCGTTGGAAAGAAATGATCCTGCTGACTGCTGACACCTCTTATCTTCGATCCTGCAAATGCTGGTGGCATCTCAAAGACTCAAAGACCATAAGACCATGGCATGCAAGAAATACGGACTGGGTACAACAGCGCCCCTTGCAAGCAGGCACGGCCCATGGGCTTATGATTTGCTCAATATAATATATATAATTCACGTGGACTGGTCAGTCACCTTAGTCACCTTCATTTCACTGGTCAATCGGTCGATGGTAAATCCAGGAGCTTCCTGCGCCGAGCGGCTTAGAGCAAGCGGCCTGTGCTCGCGCTCCATTGTTCCGGCGGCCCGTTGTCGCGGCCCGTGGCACCGTGGGACGTGCACTACGCGTGCACAACTTTGAACAAAGAAAGACTGTGCAAGGGCAGATCTGCAAAGACAAAGACAGGGAGATTAAGCTAATTATGAATTATATTTTGCAGTGAATTCAAACATCTTCCCTGGTCAAATGCATGAACTAAATCCACATATATAATTACGCTGGAAATACAACCTGCCGGATCAAATTCGTGAAGCACAACCCGGCTCATACACTGGCATGACCCGCAAACATGGTTTCAGTATTCTGAGCGTAGTGGAGTCTTTCGTTTTCAAACTTTCCAGGCTCACATTGATTGCTCAGGCACTTCTACGCGCCTCGACAAATATCTTTGCACTAGAGGGTTTGGCAATCATGGTTAAAGAAACGCAAACAAAGGGTCAACTACGTCGACTCTTCTACACTTGCTTTGCTTTCACCGAACTTAGAAAGATAAAGATGATTACTAGGGTAATGAATGCCAGGATACGAGTAACTCAAGTTGTGCCATTGCGTTCGTTGTCTGCGGTGGATCCTGCGCAATCCCTTCCTACACTCCGCGGATCGATCCAAACACGGATCCAAATCCAATCTGTTCCAAATCTCGGAAAAAAAATGCAACTTCTGATCCGACCAGGGAAAAAAACGAAAAAATATCAAGTCCAAAAATATTGAACCCGCTCCAGTCTCTTGACCTTTTCTATGCTCCTATACTGCAGCATCAAGAAGTTGCACGGCATTCCGAGGGTGACGTCCAAACGTTCCGATTGACGCTTGCTGCGGGTTGACTATTTCATCTTGCAGCTTGCGATATGACTTGACGATCCAAATCAGGCATTCGATGGAACCTGCGACAAAGCAAGGACATTGGGGCAAATCCTGTAAAAAAATTTCACGGCACAAACCACTTTCATCGATTCAGTTCATCTACATGACAATGAACTACATGAGGTTAGAGGTTGGGGATAAGGGTGACAGCGGGCATTACTACGTAAGGTGTGGCAGTTGAGAAGTGGGACCGGGCTGCGAGAGGATGCTGCCACATGATGCACCTACATATCAAGCATATCCAAAAATCGTGAAGTAAGACTAATCATGATCACAACACAATGCCACTGCAAACAAGGCTGCAAATCCAAACAACTACCAAAAGCATCCAGGGACTCCAGCAAATTTCTTGCGCTTGTTACTCTTGGCACTGACAGCAGCTTCGTCTTATGAGCTGAATCCTATTTATATTTCGTGTTCAAGAAAACCAACCAGCTGATACCAGCTGTCGGTTAGATTCTTGCTCCTTGCGATGCTGCAATGCCTGCAAGGAGCCTATATTGAAGATCTTGCTTTTCAAATCATATCCCCCGCACCTGCATTTAGAGACCCTGAATCCCAAAACACCATATCCTGAAAGCATGAGGTCTGGGCCTAAACATGTAAGTGTAGCAGGTATTCCGCGATTTCTACGACGATGCTTCTCAGGGACAAAATCCCGAACGTTGGATCTGGAGAAATTATCCATGTTTGCAGATGTTGCGCACCATCTTTCTGTTCATTTTGATCGTACTACACAAGGGGATCATCCGCTTCGGAAATGCTCGTGGGATGGATGAGCATCTCCACCTTGCTTTGCTTTGCGATGCCTATGGATCCAGCTTAAGAGCGCACCTTCCATAGGCATCACGCACCCAAGCGCGGCCATGTTCATCCCAGAAGACACTTTCAGCCTCGGCATAAAGCGCAGGTAGAAACATGTAGAAACTGTCTTGGAATGTTCTTTGCATTGGATCAGTTGGTACACATTGGGTCAGTGGTGCCATGCAAACATTCGCCAGATTCCTTTCGATAGTCACAGACCGGGATCTTGGGATTTGCTGCACTTTACACCCGGTTTCTGCCTTTTTAAACCAAACGGACAACACTGTCAACACAATGTTGTATCAGTTGCATCTGCTTTGCACTGAACAAACTCGCTCTACACAACACAGCACGGACCATCAGTTCCCGCAGATTAGCGCTCTGGCGACCCAAGCAAAAACATCACAACCGCAGTGGCGACCGCCGTCTTGGTACAAATCAACCCAGCGTTCCAACCCAGCAGTAAAGATTGCAGATTCGAGGGTTCCAGGTTTCCATTTCGGTTTTACGATGCACCAGTCCCAGAATAGATTGAAACCCAACAAGCACTGCTGTTGGGAATCCGCCGGCCTGCCAGCATGTCTGATTAGAATTTGTTGTTCTGGTTTCTGTTCTTGGCCCGTCTGAATCGTGTCCCAGCCCTCCCCCTTCACATCTTCATCACCGTCATCACCAATATGCGACTCACCTCCGATTGGGCAAAGATTGTGAAGGTCGAAGGTTTAATTCCTCTCAGGTCCCCGGAAGCCTGTGTTCTTTCTTCGTCCTCTCTCTCCAAACTGTACTCCGAGGAATGTTTATGCATTGCAACTCTGGCACCAGGTGATTTTTACGCCTACTGGTTTTTACACAAGAAGCTTTTGCACAACACCTGCTTCTACATTTTTTTACACCAAATATGTAATTAAAGTAAAATCTCACACAAACAGGCTTGTATACACCAACCATCAGCAACCAGCCTTTACAGTACCAACCCGCATTTACAATATTTACACCAACTAGTTTTCACGCCAACAAGCATTTGCACCTACCAGATTCTACACCAAAAACAGAACCAACTCAGATGTTTCAATTAGGGCCTCACCCCCCAACTTTCAAGCCTACTTCCCCGACCTGCTATGGCCGGGCTTGCCGAAGGCAATTATGAGATTGAATTCAAATCGCAAACCACTGGATCATACTGGATCACGGGAGGAAAGTTTGAAACACAACGTGCAATGTGCAAAGTGTGATTCGCTGAGGCGTGGAGCTGGAGAAACACGGTCAATACTTCGGTTCTTGTAAAAGCTGTACAGCAAAAGCACCTCGCAGAATCTCTGAAGAAATCACGCACAGCTGAAACAGCAAACATAAACAACAAAATGTATCAAAATGTTGAATGAAACACAAACAGGACAAAAATGGAGACAACTCGGAAAAAAAAGAAATATATAGAAAAAAAACATCACAGCGATTTCGACGAAACGATGCACGTGTTTGAAAAGTTTCGATTCGAGACTTCCCACATGAGTCTCATGAGTTGGACAAAAGCAACAGCTGAAAGCAGCTGAAAGCAGCAGCTTGGCTCCAAGCTGTCCAAATTGGCAAGACCAGCGGCAAAAACCGGAAGAGGGATTCGGAGAGACCTTAAGAATTCGAAGGTACACAGGGCTCACAATGTAGTTGAAAACGGCTGCATGTTTCATAAGAATTGGAACACATGGATAATGTCATGTTGTATATTGTGTGTATATATAATTATGACCAGTTATGTATGCTCTGCAGCCCCAAATAGGGACACCCCTAGACAGTCTGCGGGACTTTTTTGGGGTTGGGAAATGGCTGCGAAGCAAATGTATAAAGCAACTCAGTACTGTAGTGTAGGCGTTTCTAGTATATGATATATGTTGCAAATGTTTCCATTGAAAATAGAGGATCAGTGTCAATATGAGACGATGAGGCTAGTGATTCTGATGAGGAGCGAGGAAGCTGTTTTCAATGGCACATTGCCCTCATCGAACATGTAGATGATCATGCAGCAGAAATACATTGCAGGTGGTTTGCACAAAGCATTCCAGAGTGATTTAGCAGGTCTTTTTTCCAAAACGCTAAGCTATTACTGTTACACCTTAAGAAGCATGAAAGCTGTGGCAGACTACGTGGAAAGGATTTTCTGTGCAGCAAGATACTACCAGGCCTGCGACTAATATTCGGGGTGTTATTATAAGTGGGAATCAGTAGGGTAGAATCGAGCAGGTGTAAATGCACAAGAGCTTCAATTTTTCTGCCTTTCTGTTTCTCTTTTTTTTCAGGCTTGTGATACTGTCCGCCTTGTATCGTCATTTTGTTCCTTGAATTGGTTGTTCTTATTTGGGAACCCTTTTTTTGCTTCCAAATCTTGCATGTTCATGGTATGAACGCATTGTTCGCACACAGGCGCTTCAAACGGATGAAAGATGATCAACGTATTTTCTAGATCCCCCTCCTCTGAGTTCAGTGCCCCACTTGGGCTGTCTTATTCTTTAGAGGGACGCCCTGGGGCTACAAAATGAATCCCTAAAGAATCAAACATCCAGTGGAGGGTACATGAATAAGTCCTTAAAGAATCAGACAACCCTAGCTGGGCACTGAACTGTTCCCCCTTTAAAAGTCTCTGAAGTGGTTTTGGGGTTTTGGGTGGTTCCCCAGGATTCTATCCTTATTGGAATGTGTTCGAAGTATTTTGTAAGGTGTTTTGAATTTTCTACTGTTTTGTTCTATGTTGAATTGTGTCGGAATGTTTTGTAATATCTTGATTTTTGAAAATATCTGCAATGTCCTTCTTTTCTGGCCCATGAAATTTTCAGTATCCTCCATGAAATTTGGTCAGTTAACGAATCAGGTGCCTCCCAACATTGTGGTTTTTGATGGATCTGGAGGCAACTGCCTGACGATATTGGGCTTAGGGAGGTTTGGCATATGAGACCTGCACTTAAATCCTCTCTGCTTTTCTATTGCCGCATGATGCTAACATGTTTTACTTAAATATTTCATAAGGGATCAAAAAGGTTGAAACATATTTCATTTGGGAATCGCAAAGCCATCAGGTGGCCCGTCACATTTTGATGTATTTATCTTTTTATACCCAGTAAAATGTAGAACGAAGTTATTGCATGCACCGATATTTAAAATTTGCGATTTGATGCTCTTATGTTTTCTAATGTCATTTTTCGTGGCACTTTTTGAACCATGTTTTGGCAAGCGCTTCAAAAATTGACACGGTCCATGAAGGGGTCAAAAAGGATCATATATGCTTCCAAAACAAGGTTCTCTAAAGAATCAAAAACATTTTTTTATAAAAGGTGAGACTCCTAGCAAACTGCACCAAGCAGGTCACTAAAGAATCAATACTTTTGTGACAACCGGGTTTGTTGGATTCAAGGAAAATCCCAGGGATTTTTTACCGCTGCTTGCTTGGTTGCATGGGACTTATGTTTTCATGTCACACTACATGCCACATAGGTCACCACCCCGAGGTAACTGGTGGTCTCTGGCGGCTGGCCATACTCTGGCTCTAATGTACCACACCAAGCCTTTTTGTGCAAAGTTCAAGTCATTTCCATTTAGTCCAGGTTGAAGGTCTGATTCTCAGGTTCCGTCTGCTGCGGTACCGAGACTGGTTGAACCTCAGCTAATCATGTGGATTGGGCGTGGCGGTACGTCACATTTTACGAGAATGGGCAAGCACAATGCAGGAACACTGAGAGTTTGATCTCAAATCATCATACCGGGTTCTTCAAAAAAAAGCAACCATCCTCCTACATGTTGTCACATCACGCCTGATCCCCCCGCGCCCCCTTGATCAATCTTATTGCCCAATGCATGCTGGCATCTGAACCGAAATGGTTGTTTTTTTGAAGGCCTTTCCAAACAAAGCGATGTAACAACATTGAATTGGGGGAAAAGGGGCATGCAAGTTTCTGCGCAATAAGTTTGACAGGATGGCTGTTTTCCCCCAACCGCGTAAGCTAATGGGGTCTTCAGCCCAGAATAGCTCCGGTGTGCACTGGTGCAGGCGCCGGGTCAGGTTCAACAGGGTTCCGGAGAAGGTTCCGGAGAAGGTTCCGGAGAAGGTTCCGGAGAAGGTTCCGGACAAGGTTCCAGGAAGCCTTGGTGCAAAGCCAAGTCACGTTCAACAGGGTTCCGGAGAAGGTTCCGGAGAAGGTCTGGGAGGCTTTGGTGCAGAGACAGGTCAGGTTCAACAGGGTTCCGGAGAAGGTTCCGGAGAAGGTTCCGGAGAAGGTCTGGGAGGCTTTGGTGCAAAGCCAGGTCAGGTTCAACAGGGTTCCGAAGAAGGTTCCGGAGAAGGGCTTTGGCCAGAAGAAGATTTCGAAGAAGGTTCCGGAGAAGGTCTTGGAGGCTTTGGTGCAGAGCCAGGTCAAGTTCAACAGAGTTCCGGAGAAAGTTCCTGGAGAAGGTCTGGAAGCTTTACGCTGGTCAGTGGTGTCACTGCAGTCCTTGCCTGGTTCCCCGCCAGCTGGGCCAGCAAAATCGCACCTTGCTTTCTTGAACCGAGAGCAGGTCTGCAACAAGGCCCGCAAGAGGTCACGGTACACTGCCCTAGTAGAGAAGACGCTACACTGCACCGAGACCCACGCACCAGGACCCTCCAAGCAGAGCTCCTGGAGGGAACCTTCTCCGGGACCCTGTTGAACCTGACCTGGCTCTGCACCAAAGCTCCCAGACCTTCTCCGGAACTTTCCCCGGAACGTTGAACCTGACTTGACTTTGGAGCAAGGCTTCCTGGAAGCTTTAACCTTCTCCGGAACCCTGTTGAACCTGACCTGGCTCTGCACCAAGAAAGTTCCAGGAAGCATTGGTGCAAAGCCAAGTCAGGTTCAACAGGTTCCGGAGAAGGTTGCGGAGAAGGTCCCGGTGCAGGGCCAGGTCAGGTTCCAACAGGTTGAAGAAGGTTTCTAGCGCTTGGCTTCGCAGCACGCTTCAGAAAGATTTGTAAAAATAAAACGTTGCGGCCGTTGGGGATACCACCGAAGCTTATTTTTGAAGGACCCAGTATCATTCTTGTCACAGTCATCATGATCAGGTTCTTGCAAACCTGGGGCAGCGAAGACCTGATACCACATTCTGCAATCGTTTCAAGTTTGGTTTCTTACCTTGCCTACCAATGACCAAAAATACCAAAGTATGACACACTTTCATTTCGTTTGGAAATTCTGCACCTGAGAGGAAAAAATGCAATCAAGGGAAATGCAGTGTCGAAAACACCAGAACAATGCTCAAGAACTGGCGACAAAATAGGGTATCTTTTTCTGCGCGGCACCTGCACTCTGCAGTAACAATTTTCATGTGCCATGACCAAATTATACCAAGCACCTCGCTTTACAGCGGGTACAGGCTCACTTGCGCGGACCAAGACAGATCACTTTAACATCACGCGTGCAATCTCAGAAGCTTAGCATCGAGTGCGGCTGATGTGAAAGCGTCGTTTCCACCCCAACTCCACGCCACCCATGTCTAACGCTCTCACGGTGTCGTAGCATCAAGTTCGTGCACAAGCGCGACAAGTGCAAGTGCGCTTCAAGAATCGATTACGCGTGGTTACAAGCCCCGCACCTCCCATGAGAGCCTGGAGCATCAGCAGCCCATGACCATATCATATGACTGCAGTTTTACACCCGTAGGCTAAGGCAGCAAAGATGAAACAGCTAACAGCTAAAGCAATTTATTGTTTTGCTACATATGGAATGTATATCTCCCAACTCCATGAAATACGCTGGCCGCCAAGAAGCCGCATAAAGAACTGCGCCTCTGCTCGGCGACGAAGTGCCTGCTGTCTGGTCATGTCCGGAATCTTTCAACATAGTGAGCTGTGCATGGGATGCTACATGCGAATTATGCGAGGCAACATGCAGAGGCTTGAAAGGCAACAGTTACAACAGTTACGACACTTACGGCGATTTTCAAATGTTGGCGGGCTGGAGTTGCATAGCAATGAAAGCTATGCAAGCTACACATACAGGGCAGATGGCAACACGCCAAACAACAACACGCATTGCAGGGTTCATTGCCTTGCGATATCTTGGATGATCTCGCATGAAGTGCGTATCAAATTGCATCACGTTGTCGTATAATTACAGCTGAGATTCTGCAGTGAATTAAACATAATTAAACAACATGGCAGCTGCTACCGACATTGCACTCATTAGCTAGGCACCTTCAGCCATTGCATTTGCTACATCCACCACGTACATTGCCTATCATTGCACTGTTGCAAATGTCGCAGTGCGTTTCATGCGTTGACACAGTTGACACATGTCATTCACGTATGCATCCAGCAATGTTCAGTCGCGTACATGCATAGATCATCGATGATGAGTTGCAGTGATCAGGGGAAGGAAAATGGGCAAGTCATCGATGATGTTGCTGTCAATTCGTCGTTGGGTCTTAGGTTGCGAAACGTTCCACAGGATGAGGGACAGGGAGAAGGGAGACGAAAGGGTGGAAGCCCCGACAAACCAAGCTGGACTGAGAATGCACTCGACTTTGATCTCGATGCACTCGAAACATCTCGAAACCCATTCCATGCCCTGAAACTATGGACCTAGCTCCATGGCACAGTATGGCACAGTGCTAGGGAACCCAGAGGTCCAACATGCGGGTACTACACAACAAATGAAAATGCGAAGCCGCCAAGCATACGCGCATTGTACTAAGTAAGTGGATAGTGAACGTTGGAATCGTTGGAATGTTTGCAAGGAACGTGTGGTAAACGTGGTACAAATTGTTCTGGATTGTACCTATACCAAAGCACACCATGTCACATTGCCATACGTCACCAGATTCTATCTAGTCAAAAATTTCTCAAAACTCTTTGTTATGCTCCTGTAGGCCGTCAGAAGGAGCATCTCAACCATTGAAAGACTGAGCAACCGAGAGCACACACAAGCCATTCACCAACTTGCGGCACACAGTGCGGCACCCAAACATGACAGTCAAATGCAATCAACACAGCTCTCACGAACAGAGCGTCCTCGTGCTCTTGCCGCACGCGGCGCGCTTCCTGGCTGGGTGTCGCAGAGACACAAAGTATATGGTTTTGCACGTCACAGCTCCCCCACAGCAACTTGGCCCAGGGTACTTCTAGGATGCCTGCGCTCATCGTAAGAGGTTTGAAATTCACATGTTGCAAGCACATAAACCTATTGTTTTTACCTCCTATTATTCCCCAACAGCGTAAGCTAATGGGGTCTTCAGCCCAGAATAGCTCCGGTGTGCACTGGTGCAAGCGCCGGGTCAGGTTCAGCAGGGTTCCGGAGAAGGTTCCGGAGAAGGTCTGTGAGGCTTTGGTGCAGAGCCAGGTCAGGTTCAACAGGGTTCCGGAGAAGGTGAGGGTCTGGGAGGCTTTGGTGGAGAGCCAGGTCAGGCACTAACAACCCGGAGGAGGTTCCGCAAAAGTTCCAGGCAACCTTGGTGCAAAATCAAATTAGGTTCAACAGGGTTCCGGAAAAGGTTCCGGAGAAGGTCTGGGAGGCTTTGGTGCGGTGACGGTCTGGGAGGCTTTGGGTGCAGAGCTAGGTCAGGTTCAACAGGGTTCCGGAGAAGGTTCAGGAGGTCTGGGAAGCTTTGGTGCAAAGCCAGGTCAGGTTCAACAGGGTTCCGAAGAAGGTTCCGAAGAAGGTTTGGGAGGCTTTGGTGCAGAGCCAGGCCAGATTCAAGAGGGTTCCGGAAAAGGTTCCGGTGAAGGTCTGGGAGGCTTTTGTGAGAGCCAGGTCAAGTTCAACAGGGTTCCGGAGAAGGTTCCGGAGAAGGTCTGTGAGGCTTTGGTGCAGAGCCAGGTCAGGTTCAACAGGGTTCCGGAGAAGGTGAGGGTCTGGGAGGCTTTGGTGGAGAGCCAGGTCAGGCACTAACAACCCGGAGGAGGTTCCGCAAAAGTTCCAGGCAACCTTGGTGCAAAATCAAATTAGGTTCAACAGGGTTCCGGAAAAGGTTCCGGAGAAGGTCTGGGAGGCTTTGGTGCGGTGACGGTCTGGGAGGCTTTGGGTGCAGAGCTAGGTCAGGTTCAACAGGGTTCCGGAGAAGGTTCAGGAGGTCTGGGAAGCTTTGGTGCAAAGCCAGGTCAGGTTCAACAGGGTTCCGAAGAAGGTTCCGAAGAAGGTTTGGGAGGCTTTGGTGCAGAGCCAGGCCAGATTCAAGAGGGTTCCGGAAAAGGTTCCGGTGAAGGTCTGGGAGGCTTTTGTGAGAGCCAGGTCAAGTTCAACAGGGTTCCGGAGAAGGTTCCGGAGAAGGTCTGTGAGGCTTTGGTGCAGAGCCAGGTCAGGTTCAACAGGGTTCCGGAGAAGGTTCCGGAGAAGGTCTGTGAGGCTTGGGTGCAGACACAGCTGAAGTATTTCCAGCGCTTGGCTTCTCAGCACGCTTCAGAAAGATTCGTGATTTGTAAAAATAAAACGTTGCGGCTGTTGGGGACCCCACCGAAGCTTATGTTTGTTTATTTTTTCTTTCAACCTTGCACCCCTTTGTCGAACCGAGAATTGAAAAACGGGCTGTGCCAAGATTTAAACAAACAAGGGTTCCATTCACTTCACAGATGGAAAAGTGACCCGCATCTACACATGGAACATCATGGAACAGGTTTGGCCTCGTCAACAGTTCGAAAGTTCCCTCTTCCTTGTGCACCTACCGGCAACTACCAAAACGATCCTCATGTGAAGTCGGATGCACTTTGGCTCTTCTTGGCATGTCCCCCAGTGATGATTGACCATCGTGGTTCACACGAGCAGGAAACGGTTTTTCTGTGTTGAAACTCTGACGGTCCAACGACGTGGGACATGTTCAACAAATACTTGGTAAAAGATGTAAAAGGCAGTTGATTGCCTCTGCTGGTGCGCAAAGGATCCTGTGTTCGAAACCGGTTTTCCCAAATCATCGTGATTTTCTCTCACGTTTCCATTCTAAAAAATGCACCTTGCCAAGTACGAGGCCCGCTTGGATTTCCAGAATAAGTTCTTGTGGAGGTGGACCTGGCACGTCATGGCACGCCATGGCACATCCACCTCTTCGCCCTTCATGGTTTCCGATTCATATGTTGTGCTGCTAAAGGAATGGAGTTTGTAAAATCTCACAATATGTTACAAGAACTATCGGATTGAAAAGTCTCGGACTCAGAATTCACAGTGTAAAGGGTAGCACGAGCACTGATAGCACTAATCAAATATCGTTGCTGGCCTATTCCAAGTTCCATGGGATCCACCAACATGGTTACATCCGAGGACAGCGAAGAGAACTGTCGGTGTGTCCCTGTTTTCAATCTGCAGATCAAAAGAATGGCAACAAAGAGTATACTTCCTGCACCCGCTTTGTGTGGGTTCTAATTGTAATCTAATTTTATGGCAGATTAGTTCGGTGGATCGATAGGTCCGTTGCCACCTTGGTCGGCCAATACATCATTTAACTATACCAGCTGTTTCTCATGTCGTGTTGGTACATAGCCTGCCTATGATGGAAGCCGTAAGAAATTTAACATCCGTTTGCAGCTGTAAAAACTGGCTGGGAACACCGCATGGGAGATAGCTGCCGGTCGTACTCACGGCGCCGAGCATCGTCAGACAGAACCTTGGGCGAAGCAGCAAGGGTGAGAACACCCGTGAGACTCTTTCTGACACCTGACATCCACTCTTTCATTCTTTCCATATTCAGGACAAATGAGCGCGCGGGACTCAGGACAGCTAGAAAACTGTGGAAACATTCGAGGCCTTCAGCTCCGATTGGAAATCAAATTTCGTTTTTCAGGCATTTTCCTGACACAAAAATTTCTAACAATATGTCAATGGTAAGGAAACAATGAAATTGGTGTAGGAAGGGGGTTGAGGAAATGGGGTCCGAAAGCAAAAAACAACAAGATGTAGCCCACGAACCCGAATGCAGTCAAGTAGAACACTTTGGTGAAACAAGTTATGTGAACAGTTTTGTACATTTTTCCCCTGTTACCGTGCCAGTGCACTGTAGACTGTGGAATGCAGAATGGGGTGGAGTGCAAAATGCGGAGCGTGAAGAAAGTGGAGTGTTGAGTGGGCAATGTAGTGTGTAGAGTGCGAAGTGGGGATTGTGGAGTGTGGAGTGTAAAGTGGAAAGTGTTAAGTGTAGAGTGCGGAGTGTAAAGTGTGGAGTGTGGAGTCTAAAGTGTGGAGGTGTAAAGTGTAAAGTGTGAAGTGTAGAGTGTGGAGTGTAGAGTGTGACGTGTAGAGTGTGGAGTGTAAAGTGTAGAGTGCAGAGTGTAAAGTGTGGAGAGAAAAGCGTAGAGTGTAGAGTCTGGAGTATAAAGTGTAGTGTGTGGAGTGCAAAGTGTGGAGTGCGGAGTGTAAAGTGTAAAGTATACAGTTTAAAGTGTAGAGTGTGGAGACAGTGTAAACTGTAAAGTGTAAAGTGTGGAGTGTGGAGTGTAGACTGTAAAGTG